AAATTTTCATCATATAAATTTTGTCTTTTTTTATCATTATCCATGGAGTATATATCTTAGGAAAAAGATATCTTTAGTAGTTTCGTCTCAACTTTTTGGCTGATTGAGTGGAAACCAACTTTTGTATCTCATATCCATGAAAATGCATTGATGAAATTTATCTTAAGTGTATCACTGCTTTTTCAAAAGTCCATATTACCCTCGTTTGTTTTCTTTTTCTCTCCCCTTTTCCCGTCTTAATCATTATTGACTCCGGCAACCATGAAGCCGAGCAGAAACAGTGCCCACTAGCAATGTTGGTGCCACGGTGAAAATGCGCTGGAACTTTTCTAATTTTTGATTGCTTTTCAGACCTATCACTTTGGGGAATGCTAGATCTAACAAAATGACTGTCACCACCACAAATCACTTCAAACAAGTAAAACACTGCACAACTAAATACAAACCCCCACAGCCATCTCAATTTGGGTGGCAACTTTCACAATCAAATCCCTCGAATCCCACTCATATGCAATTAGTTAAAAACCAATGCTTTAAAAGTTAAAACCAAGCAAATTAAGAATGTAATGGGGATTGGCAAGGAGTTCATCAAGTTCTTTGCATATCAAGACTGAGGAGCTAAGAGAGAAAGTTAGCAACTAAGGGGGTGTTTGGTTGACCGGAAAATTTTCCCTTATCCCCACTTGGTTAGAGGGTCAGTTTAGTATGAATGTTTTTACTAGAAAAGTTATTAAGATAGTATTATACAAAAACTGAAAAGTACTATAATAAAAGTTAAAAAGTATTATACGAAAAGTTATTAAGTTTTTGTAAAGAAATTTTACTAAAGTTTTTGTGGGTTACTAATTTTGTTGAATTTGGTAAAAAATTGATATTGGGAAAGTTAGTAGCAAAAGTTGTTAAGTACACACAATATAAGAAAAGTTGTAGAAAAACATTTTGTCTTTCAAAATAGAGGAGGAAAAAACTTTATGAATCAAGAATTGTGTTAGCAAAATTAAATACACAAAATGTCACTTTTATCCTTCTTTTGTTATAGTATTAATATATGAAAATACATAAATAATCTTGTAAGGAGAGAGTCTAAAAAAGTTCAAAAAAAAAAGTTTCCCCTCAACAAAACGCCCCCTAAAGTTTTTAAAACTGTTTTGTCACAAGATTATTTATGCACTTTTACACATTAATACCACAATAAAATGAGGGCTAAAATGACATTTTTAACTTTTGTTTTCCATAACAGAATTCTTAACTCATAAATTTTTCTTTTCATACTTTTTGAAGAGGAAAAGTTTTTTGCTCAACTTTCTTCATACAGGACCCACTTGACAACTTTTCACTAATTATCCTCATACCAATTTCTTACTAAATATTAAAAAGTTAACAACTCAATAAAATTTCAATAAAATTTCACTATAAAACTTATCAATTTTTCATACAATATTTTCCTAATAAAAGCTTTCTTAATAAAGTTAGTCTTTTAACCAAATAGCCCTAGATGGTTTTTTTTTTTTTTTTTCATTTTACCAAAATTAGTTTAAAAGTGTATTTTAGACATTGCACCATCTGACCATTATAAAAAGTGATGTTTAGATACACTTGTGAGAGATTTGGTTAACCCATATGCATTTACACTATTTTAAAACAAATTTCAGGTTTTCCATTTAATCTCCCTCCTTTGAGAAAAAAAAAATTTTTTTTTAAGAAGATTAGAAACCAAATTACAACAACTGGGAGTTATATATATAGCAAAATTGAAATAGAAGAGTAGTATTCAAGGTAGGGATCCACCCGTTGAAAAATAATTGCTGTTTGGGATGCACACTTTCTGAAGCGATAATGACTTCTGGTCCAGCTTGTCGTACTGAAAAATAGTCATGTATAAAACAGAAAACGGCAACAAATGGGGTTGTCCTGGCCCTCCTTTGGAATCTTCTCTGCGCTTTCCATATGGACGGGCGCAGGACCATGTCTGCAGTGGGCAGCCCGCAAAAAACATGCATGGTGCATGCACAGCCCTTGAAAATGGCTAGTTCTCATCTCTTTCACTCACTCCCCCACAACGTCATTTCATTATCTTTTAATCTAACTATTTATGCACGTGAATAGCATTTTGATTTGTATTTTATAAATTCTCAAAATTACTAAGAAATTAATAGGGTCTAATCTTATTATGTCGGTGTATGAGTTTCAAGTCTTAGATATGAAAAATTATTGATATATATTTTGATATAACATATTTTTTAATATTTATTAATTTTATTAATTTTAATTTTAATTTAAAAAATAATAAT